TTGGGGCCACCTTTGAAATGAAAAAAAAAAAAAAAAAAAAAAGTCTATGCTGGAATTAAAGCAGGTTAATAAACTGTAATTTTTGTTTTTTAACCATACTTACGGGATATTGAATAGTTTGAAATTTAGATGCTGTAAAACTAAAGCAACCTACAGTCTTAAATACACAAACTGAAGCCTTTGCAGGGGGATATAAAATTTGATAATAAGTTCAGACGATTACTTCCTAGGCTCTTAGACCATAATCTACATCCATGATACCGCTCCATGATACATATTTTTTGAGGTTATCTGTACAAGGGCATTTCTTGTCTCACAGAGGCTCGGAAACACTTTCATTTTATTTTTTTAAAGAAGCATCAAAAAATTATGATTCAAGAACTTGAAACCCTAATGTAACAGGCAAAGCCTCATTTTTACGAAATATGAAACACTCTGTATCTTCTACTTCTAATAGCTCGTCAAGAGATGCCACCACTAAATCATGTTCCTGCAGCATTTCTGGGTAGCGGGACACTGCCCGCTCGATCCTTGCTGAACGCCGCACAGGAGTGATGAGCTTCATGTCTTGCACTTCTGGCATTCCACTTAAGCTGAGAGATAAGAGATACATTCAGAACCTTTTAACTTTTAAAACTTCTTTTTATTATTCTTTGTTTTTTACTTCATGATAAAACATGACAGATGTTTCAACTTAGATTGATCTAAGAGATCTGTCCAAAGCAGCTCTTGTCCTAACACGACTTTTCCCTGATTTCCAGAATGTACTGGTTGGTGTCTATTTGCTCTTGGATGGTTTAAAGCATAGAGATGTACTGAATCAAGTGTGAAGAGTGATTTTTATTTGAAGTCAGCTACTAGGCAGTTGGTGTTTGTTTACTCTATAAACTTTATTTTTTTTTACCTTTGCCAGAAGGCACATGTGCTCATTAGCGAGAGAGAGAGACAAAGAGGGAAAGTGAGAAAGTATCCTCCCATGGGGAATAGTCATACTGCAATCCCTTCTCTTCCATCTCTCCCTCTTTTTGGGATTTTGGGATGCACGCGCACTTGCCTTGCATGTTTCTCTAGCTGCTAGGTCTGGGACTTGAACTGCATGGTAGTCCATGTGGGATCCAGGCACCCCAAACACCATGCCATGGGTTGGCCCTATTCCATATACTTTTGAATGAGTTGACAGGTTTTAAGGAAATTGGAACATCAAATTTGGTTGAATGAGTGAATCCTAAGATTCTTTCTAGCTTTGAAAATTATTCAAAAAAGTAAATTATCCAAAAAACATCTTTCCAGATGGTGGGCCAGGTTAGCTGGTGGAGAGGAGGTTAAGTTAGCAGGCCTCAACATGGCTGCACTTGCTGTATGAGTTGCGGCTTTAGAAACACACTGGGTGCATATGCAAGAGTGCCCCAAATCCTGAAGAACAAAGCTTCCCCATGCAGAATGTTTTCTCACTCTCGCTCTGTCTCTGTCCATCTCTCTCCAGTGAGTACACATACCCTCTGGGCCCCACCTATCCCCACCCCCCAAAAAAGAAAAAAATTGTTGACCAAATCACAAATTAAAATGGAAACAAACTGGGCATCTTCCTGGTAAACAAATTCCAACAAAAAGTAGCCTGCAGTGAACCTCATCTACAATTCTATGCAGTGAAACTTGTCTACAATTCACAAATGCACTGATCACATTAGCCAAAGTAAATCTTGCAGGCAAGTCTGCTAAAAAGCTCTCATAATAAGTCTGGAGCCAACAAAACGTGGTTATCAGAATAACCAGATCGACTGCCTGCTCTCATCCACTGTGAGGAGCTCAGGGATGAAGAGGCCTGGCTGTGCTTTCCAGGAAACCAAAGTATAGAACTGTTGTTCTGGTGCTATTGTCTGGACTTCCCCCTTTAACATAACAAATGCCGAAGAGCGATACCACACTAATGTTTCAGAAAATAACATCCAGACACAATGCCTTAAATTATTACAGATTCTGCTTTAAACTTACACTTGATAAAAATGGAATACTTCTGATATTATGAGCAGTCTCTGACAGACTCAACTGCCTTCTCTGTGCTTATTCACTGTCCCTTCTTTCCCACAGTTACAAAGGCTGCCCTAGCTTGAAACTTTCTGTCCATCCTACGCCCCAAATCTGCGTGAGGGCAGGCAGAAAGGGTAGGTGCAGGACCAATGAGAGTGAGGATGCAGGACCGATTCCAGGAGGGAGTGAATCCACCACAATATCCTTCCTGACTCCAGCAGCACCTTCCTTACTGCGGGTCAGGTCTTATCGGGGCGGTGGGAGGGGATGGTGGTGTGAGCAGAAGAAAGACATCGCCCTCCTGTCAGTGGTTCCAACCTCTCACCCCCAGCTTCTTCCCAAATGCCAAAGATGGATTAGGCCATCTTGGGCTCATGTGCAGCAGAATTATCTACAAACTGCTGCCATTCTGGATATGCGAAGGAGAAGCTGAGAGCCAGAATTTGAACACAGAGCATGCTTTAGAGTTTGCTTACCTTGGGATTGAGGCGATCTGTAATTTGATACCAGGGTGATTCTGTGGTTCTGCCTTGGTTATCTGGGGTACTGCTACAACCTGTTCCCTCTCTTTTGGAGAAAGACAAGGCTTTTCAGATTCCATCTTCATGACCAGCTCTTCTACTGATGTTTTATTAGTTTCAGCAACTAAACAGTCAGAGGTTATTTCTGTGCAAGCCAGGAAGACAAGTGATTTAATACTTAAGCTAAAATTCATTAAAATAAAAAAGTCATACATTCAATGATTTCCCAGTGTTCCTAATGGACTCTATATACTAGATCATGATTAATTTCAAGTGGGACTTAAAACTGATTTTTTTCTGCTAAGTCCTGCAGTAACACTGTTACCTCAGGCTACTCCCTAACCAGCCCTCTGGATAGACTTCGGTTCCCCTTGCCACTTTCAGATGAATCTTTCATATCCTTTCAACATGCCCCCAGTCTCTTATTCATTTGTTTTTTCTTTAAATACCTTAAAATAATTATTTATTTATCTAATTTATATGTTATTATATTTTTATTTGACCAGAGGTAGAAAGAGAGAAAAAGGGAAAGCAAGAAAGCAAGCCACCAGGTCTGGGATTTGAACCACGTTCGACCATGTGGGAGTCCAGCACCTTAACCATCATGCCACCTGCTGGCTCCTCTTTTTCACATTCAAGAGTGCTCTTTTAGGGACAAATCCCTGGACCTTTCCCTTTACCCCATAGATTAGATCAATTTTCTTTTCTTTTTTTTTGTTGGAGAGGTTTTTGCTATAGGGCACTTGCGCTTGCCAGATGGAGACAGACAGAGAGACAGAAAGCAAGAAATCACCCCCATAGGGGGATTGGCCACGCCACAATCCCTTCTCCTCCATTCTCCTCTCAGGATCTTGGGCACACATGCACACATGCCTGGCATGAATTTTAAGCCACCAGGTCCGGGGCGCAAATCACGGTCGACTACATAGGAGTCCAGCGACATAGCCATTATGCTAACTGCTGGTCCCTAGATCAATTTTCTATATTCTCTAGGACCAACTAACGCTAAACTCCCCATTCCCTCCCCCATCGTCCCTGCCCCCCCGAATGCCACACATGGTTATTACCTTGGACAGTGGGTGAAAAATACTTTATATTTTTATGGTAGCTCAACCACAACCAACAAAATGAAAGGAAGAAATTAGACTGAGACAGACAGACATTGTAGCTAGCAGGTAAGGCCCTGAGAAAGGTCAATAGAGCCAACAGGAAGCAAAGGCACAGATTCTTGTTTCTTCTTTTAATCCCTTTGAAGAACATTGCCATGTACTATAACCAAACATCTGAACTCTACCATCATTCCCAGCTTCAGTGTATCACTGAACTTATGGACTCTATAACCTTATTTTCAAAAGTCATGGGTTATGTAACTGTAAGTCCACACGACTTGACTGACTCATAAAGGAAAAAGACTTTAGAAACCTTCTAAGATAAGAATTCATGTTACTTCCCCAGTCATATAACAAGTATCATAAGCAATTACAGTATGCACTCACTGTATATAGCACAATATTTCACATAGAAGAGTCCTTTAAAGTTTTTATCTATGATGGTAATGGTTAACTAAGTGAAGAGATTCCTGGAATGGCTATTTAAAAAGGGATAAAATGAATTTAGCACGGTAAGTGCTAGTGTTTTCTGATAAAGAACTATTTGTCTTCTCCTACCTAGAATTCCAGGGAGACAAGACACTCTAGGCGTCTCCAGTAGAAACAACTTTTATTTCAGTGTTGAGCAGGATATTCGCTTATAATAACTGAAATAAATCACCTGATGACAATGGCTGAGGGAGCTAGGACGTAGAAATCAAAAAGTAGCAGCATTTCAGCAGATCTATAGTTGCTTTCTTTATTCCCCATGTATTCCTGAGTGATACTTTTTACTTGTACGGCTAGAGGGAATGAATTTAAATACAAAAATAATAATACCTTCCTCGTTTCTGTTTAAGTCTTGCAAAATATTAAGAACAACTTCTCGCAACTCTTGTATTGGCTAGAAGGAAGAAAGAAAATACACAAACAATGTTAAAAACATTCATGAAAAATATGAGTTAAGAAACTTTAACTTTTACAATAAAAATGTTTCTTTTTTAAGTTTCTAGCTATAAATAACACTTAAAAGGTCTTAGTTTTACAGCTTTATGAGAAAAAATGAAGAAACAGAGAAAATTTTGGTTAATGGCGGGATACTTGACTTTAATGAAGAGATGTATTTAAACTTGTCTATAATGAAATTTTTCTAAATCAAGTTCTGTTTTCCTGTTGATCTTTATGATCCCACTAATGTATTCCCACATAAAGATTCTGGTCCAAAGATGGAAAGCTAGCCATACAGAAAATATATCATATATCACATATTTTTAGGGTTACCTCAGCTTAATTTTTAGCATGAAAGTCATCTGCTTCATTGTAGAAAATTTAACAATAGGTTAAAATCAACAAGGAAATCACCCAAAATCCCATCCATCGAACACAATCTTTGTTAGCATTTTTTAGTTTGTTATAGGGTGCTCACTAGAGAGGGAAAGAAAACTAAAAGTAACCCCCCTCCCCCATGGGGAATGGCCACTCCACATCCCTCCAGTCTCCTCTTGGGATTTTGGGCACACTTGCACATGTGCCTGGTGTGTGTTTCAAGCCTCCAAGTATGGGACTTTAACCATGGTTGGCTATGTGGGAGTTTGGGGCCTTCATCACTTACATCACCTGCAGCCCATGACATAAATATTTAAATTAAAATGTTCATGAAGGATAATTTATGTACATATATTATACTTTGTGGTCTGTATATCACTTAATGAAGTGAACTAGAAATCTAATACTGCATTACACAATTGCTGTATTGCAAACAGAACTCACATGATAAAGAATTTTAAGAAGTCATCCCACATGCCCATGGTAGATACTCACTGTTGCTCCATTTTTAATGGCTTCTTCATATAGTCCAATAACATCAAAGCTGCCTTTATGAGCCAACAACTTGGCTTTGCAGATCCAGAATTTAGCGAATTTTTCAGCCTCAGGAATGCTGGACAATATGGTAAATATTTCATTAGAAGATACACCCTGTAAAAAAGAAAACACCCAGAGATAATTATTATCATTTCACTATTATTCTCAAATCTTCTAATATTTATCACAACAGGTATGCAGAAATCAATGTGCTAATATTTTTGAATTTTTAATAATTTCAATTTTAGGAGCCAGCAAGTAACATAGTGGTTAAAGCACTGGATTCCCACATGGTCAGTGATGGTTTGAGTCCCAGACTCGGCAACCTGAAAATCACACTGGGTGTGTCTATGGTGTGCCCAAAATCCTAAGAAGGGAATGGAGGAGAAGGGACTGTGGTGTGGCCATCCTCCCAGAGGGTGACTTCTCACTTTCCCTCCCTCTGTCTCTCTCTGGTAAGCGCATGGCAAAAAAAAAAAAAAAAAAAAAAAAAAATTAACCATTTAAGAGTGCACAACACAGTGGCATCCTCTACACCACAGGTTTGTGCAACCATCACTTTTACCTTGTTCCAGAACATTTCTTCGTCCCCCAAACACCCCCTGGTCTCATTAGCAGTCACTCCAGTTTCCTCTTCCCCCAGCCCCTGGAAACCACTAATCTGCTTTCTGTCTCTATGGATTTATCTTTTCTGGATTTCTCACTTTCTTGCTTTCTGTCTCTCTGTCTCTCTCTGTGTTTCTGGTGAGTGCACATGTCCTATAACAAGAATCTCTGTAAAAAAAATTCAATTTAATTGAGGTATACATACATATAATAAAATGCATGCTTTCTTCTTTTTAGAGATTTTTTTGCTATAGGGCACGTGCACTCACCAGAGACACGGAGAAAGACAGAGACAGAAAGCAAGAAATCACCCCCTGGGGGGATGGCCACATCACAATCCCTTCTCCATTCTCCTCTTGGGATCTTGGGCACGCATGCACACATGCCCGGCATGAGTTTAAGCCACCGGGTCCAGAACTTGAACTGTGGTCTACTACATGGGAGTCCAGTGATGCAACCGTTATGCCATCTGCTGGTCTCAAAATGCATGCATTTTAACTGTACATTTTAGTGGGTTTTGACACCAATCACTCAATTTTAAGCTACATGTGACCAAATACACAGAAAAATATTTATTATAACTGAAGGTCAGGATTATGTTCCCTATATTTTATTTATTTTGAGCAAGAGAGGCAGAGAGACTGCCACATTCAACAGGGTCTTCACTGTGATCCGTCCCCAGCCTTAGCCAGCCAGGAATGTAGGCATATGCCTGGCACATGGAGGGAGGCCTCAGATTATGAACTGGGACCTCCCCATGTGGGGTCAGCATGGCAGAGTGTTGTGCTGCCTCTGTGCCACCACATGACCTGTGTTCTACATTTTTGTGTGGTACAAAAACAACAAAACAAACCCTAGAGAAATGAACATTTCTTAGTATTCATAATACTCCATTTTTTTAAAGAGAGGTTTTTGGTATAGGGTGCATGCACTTACTGGAGCGACAGAAAGCAAGGAATCCTCCCTCCCCCCTGCCCAGGGCGGGGGTGGGGGAGATGGCCATGCTGTGATCCCTTCTCTTCCATTCTCCTCTCAGGATCTTGGGCACACACACACACACACAAGTCTAAAGTGAGTTTAAGTTGCCGAGAGTAGGACTTGAACCACAGTCGACTATGTAGGAGTCCAGTGCCATAACCATTATGCCATCTGCTGGTCCATATTCCATAATTTTAATGTGCAGGTAAGCAAAGGTCATAGGGATGTGTATGTGTGTGTGTGCTGGTGGTTCATGCAGGTATATATTTAAAGAGGGCTAAATCGCACAAAAAGGAACTTAGAAGTGGCTTTGCTTGTTTGGTCTCCTGGTTTGTGACCAGAGCAGGACAGTGACAGGGAACAGGAGGAGGGGGACATACTACTAAATTCAGTAACCCAGGTACTGGCACACACTTAGCCAAGCAGCACTTCCTGCTCCTATTGAGATGGGGTAGATGGGTAGATACAAAGGTAAGCTCATCACTGAGAATTACTTGTGTTTGAGAAAACTTGCATTATACGGAAGAGGTATAAACAGGCCCAGTCTCTATATGGACTGGTAGCTACCAGACTGCCAAGCTGGAAGCCCCATGCTTACTGTTGTTTGAGTCCCCCCGTTTAGTGACCTGAAAACATGCTGGGTTTGTGCACATGCACCATGGACCCTGGTGGGCTGGAGAACAGGAGAAAGGATATTGTAGCATGACCAAGCCCTGTGGAGGGTGCTCCTGTCTTGTGCAAGCATGCATGCTATCCTGAATTAAAAACAAACAAAAAACAAGAATGAACATTGGAGCAAACAGTTAATGGAGCAAATAGGAGTCCATTTTAAGAGTATCATAGTCAGTAGCTTCAGATTGTTAAGAGAACACTATTGTCATAAAAACTAGAATGGACTTTATGAATACAGAACTAATGGAAGGACAGAACAAGGGCATAGATGCCACTGACAAATCAACGAGCTGAAAATTTATCTGTGAAATTTTCCCAGAATCCAATGCAGTGCAATGAACACGAAATGAACAGTATGAAAGAAAAATTTAGAGTTCTGGAGGACACATTCATTACCTAGTAACTCTAATAGCTATATAAGAGAATTTCTAGATAGAAAAAAAAATTAAAAATTACATTTAAATTCGTCAGAGGACATGTATGAGCATCAGAGAGACAAAGAGACAGAGATAAAGGGAGAGGGAGAAAGCACCCTCAATCCCTTCTCCATCTCTCCATTCTGTCAGGATTTTGGGCATGCATATACATGCACCCGGAGTGATTTCAAGTCACCAAGTGTGGGACTCAAACTGCATGACTGGTCATGTGTGATCCAGCTCCCTTAACTACCAGGCCATGGGCTATCCCTCTATTTATCCTTTTTTAGGTTTTTGCCATGGGGAATGTACACACTCTGGGGAGAGACAGAAAGACTCCATTCTGTCAGGATTTTGGGCATGCATGCATAAGAGCTTGGGATGTTTTCAAGTCACCAAGTGTGGGACTCAAACTGCATGACTGGTCATGTGTGATCCAGCTCCCTTAACTACCAGGCCATGGGCTATCCCTCTATTTATCCTTTTTTAGGTTTTTGCCATGGGGAATGTACACACTCTGGGGAGAGACAGAAAGAATGAAAGTAAGAAATTACCCACTAAGGGGGATCACCATGCTGCAATCCCTTCTCCTGCAATTTTGGGCACACGCACACACACATGTCCAGCGTGATTTTTAAGCATCCAGGTCTGAGACTCAAACTGTGGTTGACCATGTGGAAATTCAGCACCTTAACCATCGTGTCACCTGCTGGCCCTATCCCATTATGCTTTATTAATATATTTTTCCTTCAGGGAATCTCCTAAGGATCATATCCTTTGCCTACCATCTACTTTATCCTTATTACAGTATGCAAGATATAATATACACATAATCTTGCCTTTTGAATTCAGTTTCATATCCAAATATTAAATGCTTATTCTCTGGATTTCGATACCTGAAGATGCCCTTAGGAGTCAGAGTACTTGGGTTAGTTTCCCAACTTCTCTGTGTCTCAGTTTCATTTGTAAAGTGGGCATAGTAACAGTTGTTATTATAGCCCTTTGGCCAGAACCGCCATCTTCCCGTAATTAACCAAAATGACGAACACAAAGGGAAAGAACTTCTCTAGCCCTTTTAGAAAACATGGAGTTGTTCCTTTGGCGACATACATGCGAATCTACAAGAAAGGTGATATTGTAGATATTAAGGGAATGGGTACTGTTCAAAAAGGAATGCCCACAAATGTTACCATGGCAAAACTGGAAGAGTCTACGATGTTACCCAGCATGCTGTTGGCATTGTTGTGAACAAACAAGTTAAGGGCGAGATTCTTGCCAAGAGAATCAATGTGTGTATTGAGCATATTAAACATTCTAAGAGCAGAGATAGCCTCCTAAAACGTGTGAAGGAAAATGACCAGAAAAAGAAAGAAGCCAAAGAGAAAGGTACCTGGGTTCAACTAAAGCGCCAGCCTGCTCCACCCAGAGAAGCACACTGTGAGAACCAATGGAAAGGAGCCTGAGCTACTGGAACCTATTCCCTATGAATTCATGGCATGATGGGTGTTAAAAATAAACTAATCTGTGGTCTGTTAAAAAAAATAGTTGTTATTATATAAGATAAGTGGTTACGAAATGCCTGGCATATCAAAGCCACTATTTATGTGTATGTCATGATCAGAGGAAGGTTATCTCCCCTATACTATAGTTGAGAAATTAGTTTAAAAATTCTAGGACTCTGGGCCAAAGTTCTGGGAGCTTATCTTCCTCACTCACCCCTTCAATGAGCTGTAGACATTCGCTCAGAGTATTGTTAATTTTGTTGGACAGTTCAAGTTGGGCTTTCTTATCCTCTTCTTCTTTTTCAATGCTCTTCCAGCATGAAATATTCATTTCCTCTTTTACTTTTCTTTTTGTTTTAAGTTCCATAGGAGGCCGTTTATAGATTTTCCCCTTAGATTTCTGCCATTCTTCTAGTTGTTTCCTGTTACGCAATTGAAGACAAAGGGTGATTTTAGCTTATTTTTTTTTTAACATTGTTAATCTTCTAAAGTACATGATATGCATAAACTAATGATAACAGTCAGGAAAATGGAATTAAAAGTCAATTCACAAATGGGTAATGACAGCACTGGATTGCCCCCATTTTTAGGAAGGCAGATGCCAGGATTACTAGATGACCGGCAGTCAGCAGCCAGCATCTTAGCCTTCAACTCCTTTGACTTTGTGACTATTCGTTTTTTTTTTTTTTTTTTTTCAGGTAGAAAATAAGGTTTAATAGAAAAGAAAGGAAAGTATACCCAAAAAGGCTCTTGGGTGGGCAGATTGCCAGGTGGCAACTGCGTGTCACTATTCTTGATTTCATTTCACTGTATGCTGTATCTGACGCTTCCTAAGACAACCCTCTCTCCCTCTGAGGTCACTAACTCAGTTCTCTGTTTCTCCCATAGTAAGCATTCTACCTGTCACTCAACCCACGCCTTAGCCCTGTCCTGATCACACATGACTCCATCCCTATTATAAACTATATCAATCCTTTCCAGCCTCTTTTCTTAAATACCTGGTCTCTGATGGTGCCAGGTCCTAATATTGCTCTCTTCTACTGTTCATGTCCTCAACTCCTGCTTCTAAGCAGGCAATAGACTGTTTTCTGGGGGAGGTCACCAAGACATGTCAATTCAGGGACTTCGATGTAGATTTTTTTTTTTTTTTCCCAATGTAGATTCTTGAGCTTCTTTAAATAACAACTATTTGTTGATGACTTGCAAATGTACATTTTAGCCCAGATCTTTCCCTTGAGCCCCAAACTATAAAATCTGCTGCCTAGCTGATAAAAAGCTGTTGATTTTTACCTCCAAATCTGTTTCCAGTCTTCTTTTGGTAAATAGCACCCAATCCATCTAGTTGTTAGGAACCAAAACCAGGAGTTGTCCTTGAGATGTCCCTCTTTTTTCCCCACCTCTGGCACATCGCTGTATAAAGTCAGTATCGTCATCTTCTGTCTAAAATGCTGCAGCCTCCCAACTCATCTCCTTGCTTCCATCTAACCCTGTCAAATTCAGTGTGTGTGTGTGTGTATGTGTGTGTGTGTGTGTGTGTGTGTGTGGTAGCTAGAATGGCCCTTTAAGATGTAAACCAGATTGTGTCATGGCTAAAGACTTACCATGGCTCTTGGAATAAAATGCAAAATGTTTCCCATGGCTGAAAGGCACAGCATAATTTGGCTCCTGCCCATTCTCTAACCTCACGTCATAGCACCCTCCCTCTCACTTGCTACCCTCCATGAGCTCTGGCATCCTTTCAGTTTCTAGGCCCAAGCTCATTCCTGTCTCAGGGTCTTACACCTTCAGTTCTCTGCTCAAATGACATTCCTTGAAGAGATAATTCTCTGTAATTATCTTGTCTTATTTAATCAACCTCCACTAGAATGTGAGCTCCATGGATGCAGAAACTTTGGATGTCCAGTGTCTAGCTCAGTATCAGCACACACTATAACATATAACATACAGTAAAATTCACTTTTGGGTGTGCAATTCTGTGAGTTTTGTTTTTTGAGTTTTTTTTTTTTGGAGAGGGTTTTGCTATAGGGCACATGCGCTCGCCAGACAGACAGAGAGAGACATAGAGACAGAAAGCGAGAAATCACCCCCCAGAGGGGATGGCCACACCGCAATCCCTTCTCTTCCATTCTCCTCTCGGGATCTTGGGCATGCACGCACATGCGCCCAGCATGAGTTTAAACCACATGGGCCAGGACTCGAACCACGGTCGACTATGTAGTAGTCCAGCGACATAGCCATTACGCTAACTGCTGGTCCCTGCAATTCTGTGAGTTTTGACAAATGCATGAAGTCATGTAACTATATCTGTGATCGACATATGGACAGTGCCAACACCCTCCACAATTCCTTCATGCTGCTTGGTAATCAACCCTATCCCCTGAACCCCCAGGCCCTGTCAATCATTGTACTCTCTCTCTTTTTTTTCTGTCCTTATAGTTTTGCTTTTTCCAGAATGCCAAGAACTAATTTTTGAAAGAGTGAATGCTTATTAACCTTGTTTCTCTCTTTGACTCCAAAGCACAAACTGTACAGTGCTTGTTTCAGCCCCAGCTCCTCCCTATTCACCTTCATTCTAACCATTTAGCTAATGGTAGAAGTTGAGACGTCTGGCAAGTCTTCCCTTTATATTTCTAGTATTCTTCTTATCTCCTGAGTCTTCATAAACAAAGAAGGAACTTTCCTTTCCTAATGCTAATTCATTCCTAAAATCTCAATGCTGTAATTTTACTCCAGTCTTTCCATGCATACACCCAACAATAAGCTCCATAAGGGTAGAGACTGGGCCTGTGCTCACCACTGTATCTTCCAGTGCCTGGCTCATCGCAAGTGCTGAAGAAACTCTCGAGAAATGAGTGAATCAATCTAAGCCTCTCCACAGACTCCCTCCCTTCTTTTTCCTTTTTATAGGTATATGTGCTCGTGGGAGGGAGACAGAGACAGTGAGAGGGGCGATGTGCATGCTGTAATTCCTCCTCCTCCTCTCTCTTCCTGGGATTCTGGGGATGCACACACAAGTGCCTAGTGTGATTTTCAAGTCACCAGGTCCAGGACTCGAACCACAGTCAGCCATGTGGGAGCCCAGTGCCTTAACTATCATGCCACCTGCTGACTCCAAGACTCCCTCCCTTTTTAATCACTTGTCCTGCTCAGGCTTGTCATCCTTTTTGTCACCAGCTTTTTCCCAGCTTTTTATCTTCTTGTTGCTATATTTGACTTATAGCACATGTATGTACCACCTAGCTCTGTCAAGTCTTAATACACATATACCTCAACTTACAATGGGGTTATGTCCCATTAAATCAATCTTAAGTTAAAAAAAAGCCTAAGCCAGGAACTGTCTATCAGGTGTCACTACTTAAAGTCTCCCCCAACCCTCCCCCCCGACCTTTCTATATAAAGAAGCCATCCAGACCCTACCTTCTTGATCAAATCACTTGCATTATTAAGTTGCTTATTTTCTGTGTCTTCAGGAGGGCAAAGAGCTTGTTGGTGGTGTTCAGAGCTGTGCCTAGAGACTAAATCCTGCCTTTACTTCCTTCTACTCTAGTTACGTACTATCTAATTTTATAAGCTCCTTTCACTCTTGTCAGGAATGTCTTTATTTTCTACTTCAATCAGGTATACGTATGTGCTTCTAGCGGGAGGGTCACTCATATGACCCGATGTCTGGTCCAAAGTATAAGAAAAAATAGATCAATGATTGTCAGGACCTGAGGGTCTAGATGACATTTACCACCAAGGAGCATGGATTTTGAGAGTATTGGCACTGTCACTCACGCTTTTATGCAGAAAGTGTACAAAACTATTTATCTCAGTTTCAAGCATCACATATACTAGTAGTATTCCCAGCAAATGAAGAGCCTGACTTTTACCATCTGAACTCTGTACTTGAACTATAGTTTACTTTCTAAAACTTGGTCCACTAAGACATATGGAAATTTCCTATTTGTTATTCTCTGATAACTTTTCCAGACTTAATCACTGGTCTACTTGACAAAGGACTACCGTATTCCTGCTTCCGAGCTATGTGAATACATGACAATTGGCCCTCAGTGTCTGTGGGTTCCAAATCCATGGATTCAACCAGTAGTGAATCAAAAATACTCAGGAATAAAAACACCTACAATAAGAAATAACAATAAAAAAATTATACAAATGGGGTCAGTAGGTAGTGTGGTGGTTAAGGTGCTGGACTCTCATATGGCCGACTGTGGTTTGAGTCCTGGACCTGGTGACCTGAAAATCATGTGTGCACATGTGGCTAAAATCCTGAGCGGAGAATGAAGGAGTGGTTTCTCATTTTCTCTCTCATTGTATCTCTCTGGCGAGCACACGCACCCTATGAGAAAAATCTTTATATATATATATATATATATTATAATAACTATGTACATAGCATTTACATTATATTAGGTATTATAAGTAACCTAGAGATGATACAAAATATAAGGAAGGATGAGCAAAGGTTGTATGCAAATACTAAACCATTTAAAATAAAGAACTTGAGGATCTGTGGATTTTGGTATCCATGGAGGGTCCTGGAACCAATCCCTCTCAGATACTGAGGGATGACTGTACTTGGCTCTTTCTCACCAGACTTACTCTATTGCTGTTCAATCCCTGAAGGGTACATCTTGAACCAATGGTCTACATCTGCAACTCCTATTTGCTACTCATTCATTCTCTATTTCAACTAACACAGTAACAGTGACAGCAGCAAATGATTTCAAACATACAGAAAATTACAGAGAACAACTTATAGCATATGTATGTACCACCTTGCTCTGTCAAGTCTTAATACAGATATACCTCAACTTACAATGGGGTTATGTCCCATTAAATCAATCTTAAAAGTTGAAAAAAGCATAAGCCAGGAACTACCTATATTTGTTCTATTTGCTTCAAAACTTTGTTTCTCTCAAGTTCACAGTTAAAAATTACTTAGGAGCCATTATTTAAGGCCGATTTCCAGACCAAGTATTCTTTTTTTTTTTTTTTTTTTTGGAGAGGCTTTTGCTATAAGGTGCGTGTACTTGCCAGAAAGACAGAGAAGACAGACAGACAGAAAGTGAGAAATCACCCCCCGGCGGATGCTGCACCGCAATCCCTTCTCCTCCATTCTCCTCCCGGGATCTTGGGCACGCACGCACACGCACCCGGCTTGAGTCTAAGCCACCAGGTCTGGGACTTGAATCATGGTCAACTACATGGGAGTCCAGTGACATAGCCATTACGCTAACTGCTGGTCCCAGACCAAGTATTCTTGATGGTCAATTTGCCTAATTATCCTAAGTTGAAAAATTCTGGAATTTAACAAAGTACCTTCGATCTTCTGCTGTTGGCTTCTTTTTCGTATCTGGATTAGTTTGAGTTTCATTTAGGACTCCTTTCCTATTTATGGTTATGCGACCAGCTTGTGTTTTGGGAGCTGTTTTATTCAGAAAATGATTCTGAGGAATGGTCTTTTTCAGCTTGGAGTCCAAAGTCTGTGCTTTTTGTTGAAAGTTGTTGTATTTATTACCATTGGTTCCATCTGCACTAATGCTTGGGGTGCTTGGAATAACTGAATTAAACTTGGCAGTTGTCAGATGAGACCTCTGGCTTATGGCTTTTGATCTCTGAAGTGCACATGATGTTGGAGGTCTAAAATAAGGTTGAGAGGACTTCTGATTTTCCTTCACATTTGGATGTTTGTTACCATACTCACTCTGCGGCAAATTGGGGTATATTCTGGGTTTAGAAGTTTTTACTTTCTGTTCATTAACAAGGTATGACTGTGACTTAGTTTCTTTTAGTTCTTTGTATTTACTCCTACTAACCTTTATGTCCTTGACCACTGGCTTCTTTAATACTTGAGTCCTATTAAAGGTCTGAATATGGTGAGAGGGAACTGTTCTTGCGTGTTTTTCTCCTGGTCTTGTAAGACCTGCTCCTTTAGACAATTGCTGTGACTTTACTGGTAGAGTCCTGATTTGTGTTTCTCCAACAAGTTGCTTATTAACTCTGTCTTTAAGAACAGCACTATTCACTGGACTTTTGCCCATGGCCTGTTTAGGAGCCAAACTTCCCTTGATTGGATTATGAGAGTTAGTCTTTGTCTTAGTTATGGCACATGATTCAGGATCTGGCTTCCTCTCAGGTTCTAATAAGGTTTGGGACAAGTTCTCTTTGTTCATCTCTTTCAAAAAGATATCCGAAGATTGGTTTTCAACATGGGAACTGTCCACAGAGTCTATACATTTAGCATTTCCTTGATCTGTTACTTGCTGCTTTATAGGTTTCAATTCCTGCATATTGAGTAACCCCACAGGTTTTCTTGACAGTTCTCCTGCAGTGGATGATCCACCTTCATGCAGGTGATGAGTCCTGCTGGAACGCTTACCGTTTGGCATCGAAGAAACACATCCTGAAGTCAGCCCTTTGCCCACAAGTTTTGGCGGCTCCAACTTTGGCTTCTGTGACCCTGTAATATTGGCTGTTCTGGGCTGGAGTTTAATGCTAACGGGCTGTGTGGTTTTGACAGGCAAGACAACATGGTGGGTAACATCCTTTTTGGGTCTAATAGTCTGAAAAAAAAAACCAAAAAACAAAAAACAAAGAAAAATAAATTAAAAAGAATAACAATAACTTACTGTTTTTCTCTTCTCCTTTTTTACCCTTTGCTATAGGATGTATGTACTCACCAGAGAAAGAGACAGACAGAGAGAGAGAGAGAGAGAGAGAGAGAGAGAGAGAGAGAGAGAGAGAGAAAATACCCCCACGGGAGGAGGGCCATATGGCCATACCACTATTCCTTCTCTTCCATTCTTCTCTCAGGACTCTGGGCACACAAGTGCACGTGCCTGGTGTGTCTTTCAAGCCACTGGGTCTAGGACTAAACTGAACAGTCAGCCGTGTAGGATCCAACCACCTCAACCACCACATCACCATTTCCTTTTATTTATTTATTTTTAAGGCAGGGCCTTGCCATGTCATCATCTCCTGCTTCAGCCTCCCAGCTCTTTTTTAGATAGTCTTTTGCTATGTTGCCTAGGCTAGCCTTAAGCTTGCAATCCTCCTGCCTCAGCCTCCCTGAGCTTTTAGGATTACAGGTGTATACCACTATGCTTAGCCTTTAGGTGAGACTGGGAATCAAACTCAGGCTTCCGATGTGGGCCCAGCCTGTGGAGCATAGCATCTTAGCAGTGTATGCCACTGCAGTTGGGCCTCTGTGCTCACTTTCTTTCTTTTTTTTTTTTGGAGAGGCTTTTGCTATAAGGTGCGTACGCTCACCAGAAAGACAGAGACATAAAAAGAGAAATCACCCCCCCAGGGGGGTGGCCATGCCGCAATCCCTTCTCCTCCATTCTCCTCTCGGGATATCTTGGGTATGCATGCACATGTATCTGGCATGAGTTTAAGCCACTGGGTCCAGAACTTGAACCATGGTTGACTAGGGAGTCTAGTGATTTAGCCATTACTCCAACTGCTGGCCCCTATGCTCACTTTCTGAGGAATTGCCAAATTGTCTTCCAAAGTGGCTATATCATTTGACATCCCTGACAACAATGAGTGTGGGTTCTAATTTCCTCACATCCCTGCAATACTTATTACCTGTCTTTTGATTATAGCCATCCCAGGGGATGTAAAATGGTATGTAAAATGGTAATGTGGTTTTGATTTACATTCCCCTGATAGCTAATGATGTTGAGTATCTTTTCATGTCCTTATTGACTACTTGTGTTTCTTCTTTGGAGAAACAAAGATTCAGATCCTTTGCTCATTTAAAAATATTTTAAAACTGGGCTGTCTTTTTTTATTGTTGAGTTGTTAGAATTCTTGGTCTTTTTTTTTTTTTTTTGGA